GTGAACTTGCGCGGTCGCCCACAGGGAGATGAGCCAGATGAAAGAAGAAGAAAGATGAGCAAGCGTACTACTTTAAAGTAGTACGCTTTAGCCTGTTCTGTTGGTGGTGGGACTTTTTTTCATTGAAAACTCACGTTTAGAGAATGTTACAAATAAAAGTCAAATTTTATTCAACATGCGTGTGTATTTTTTTAATTAAGTGTTCCACGTGCGCTAAAAAGGTGTATTTTTTCTTCACAGGTAAATGAAAATGTCAATCAACCCAACTTGTTTGGTTTATTTATCTGCAGCTGAAGGGACAAAACATGTAAAAGATCATCCTCATCATAATCCACCTCTCCAACCAACCTTGGAGGAGTCCTCGATGGCTTTGTGCAGATTCCTTAACTTCAGGTGACATGCAGCTCTGTTTGAGTACAGCGCAGGAATGCTCCCGTTGAGTCGGATCCCCAGACTGTAGGCTTTCACCGCTCCCACATAGTCCCCGTTTGTAAAACATTTGCTGAAAGACATGATGGTTGAGAGAAGAGCTGTGCTGTCTGTTGGAGTTTATTGTCTCATCTTATTGGACTTACTCGCCCTTTTGCTTCAGCCAATCAGGGTTCCTCTCCTCCTCTGTCAGGTCCTGGAGCTCCTCCGGCTCGGCGTTGACTGCTCGCCTCGCTTCAGCTTGTTTCTTCAGCCACTGCATGGGACAGAAACAAATATCCCACCTGTTGCTTCAGACAATCAGGACAACATATCAGAAAGGATAGAGCAGCAACAAACAGCTGAAATATTGGGTCTACTGGGAGTACTGCAGCATTTAGAAAGATCCTACAGGGAAACAGTTCTTTGGGCAAGAAGTAAAAGTCCAATTATTGGGAGGAAAATACTGAAAGAGAGACGGTTTCACACAGAAATGGAGGAAACTTTGATTTATGGATGAAATTATTGTTTTAGGATCTGTAAAGGGCAGGCAGTTAGTCAGATCAACTTTAAACTCTGATACACTGTTAAGCACGGTGGAGAGGGCATCATGGTATGGGGTTGGCTGCTTTTCGCTGTTCTCTCATCCCAGAAGGAGGAAGAAGGGGGTAGACCTGTTAGACAGCGCCTCCTAGGGTCTTGATTGAGCGGATATAGGAGCCAGGAGTCTGTTGAACACCATGAGAGCAGAAGTTCTAGAGCTTTCTGTGGATTGTACCCTCAGAGCATCGGTGGATTAAAGAGGAAAAGGCTTCACTGACATCCCTGAAGGTCTTGCTGGAACGGATGAAATGAGAGGAAAAGTTCCCACAGACTCACCTCTTCCTCCTCGGAAACCAGTGACTCTCGGAGAGCTGTTGGGAAAACTCGCGGAGTAAACGTGACTGGAATGTTTCCGCGGGGTCTAGGAGGAGGTAGCCGGGTTTGGATCTTCTGGTTCTTGGTGGTACTGTGAACTAGAAGCAGGAGGATTTCCTTTATAACTGACTTTATGAAGCAGGAAAGCGGATGATAAGCAGGAAATGACTCACCATCTTTGTTCTTCTGGACCTCCATCAGTCTATGTTCTGCCGTGTCTGTGCTTCCTCTGGGTTGGATCTGATGGTTCTGGTTCTTTTGGGCTTTCTCTGCTTCCTGTTTCCGCTTCATCTGCCACGCTGCCAGCTCTGCTGTCATTTGCTCTCGCTCTGCATCCTTCATCTTCTGGATTCGCTCCTTTTCCTCCGTCTCCAGCTGATCAAGCATAACATAAAGTCTTGTGAATCATCACTAATTCGTACACTTTTGGTGATTGGGTTTGGTTTTTACCTTCATCATGGTCTCTAGAGCATATTTCCTCTCTGCTTGCCGTTTCTCTGCCTTTTGTTTTGACTCTGCAGATAGTTTCTCCTGCTGTTTCAGCAGAGCTCTTTCCCTTATCCCTCTTTTTGTCTCTTTATCATCTAAAACACACAATAAACTTAATTTTACATTTTTCCAAGAAGCTGTACTGTCATAGAATCCACAAAGGAGCAAACCAGAGCCACTATCATCTGACAGGAAACCAGCGTGGATCAGGAAGAACCTGGAGAAGTCTCACCTGTGGTCATCATCAGATGTTCCCACATTTTTGCCGTCTTTTTTGGTAAAGTGAAAACAGCGACTCCATTTCCAACCTTGGCTGTGCTTCGGTCATCGTCGACAGGTTCGAAGAGGAAGGCCTCAAAGAGGAAGGGAGGGAAATGGAGCTGAGGAGGGTCAGAACAGGGGTCAGATGGATTATCAGCAGGAGGTTTTCCTTCTCAGGAGCTCAGAGAAACTTTATGATGAATCTCCACAGACTGCAGCAAACATGTTTTAACTTTCAATCAGATCAAATAACAAATCAGGTAGGTGATTCCTCAGGATGTTCTGCAGATTTTTTACACAGCTGTTTTAAGCAACCTGCAAAAAAACGTTTACAAGACAAAAGTTTTTTTTTCCAGCAGTCCACTGGAAGAACTGCGGTGAACTGGTGAAAGAAAACTGCAACGGTGCGTTCAAAGATGATCCTGCACATTTTGAGTAGGTTTGGCTCAACCTCTTGCTGTTAAGCAGGATTCTCCACCATGAACATCAAAAATAAATATGGATCCAGGCTCAAAATGATCTCCTTGATATGTGCTTGAGAATGGCTTAGTCTCCATTCAAAACCAGGTTTAACTATTTTTAGGGCACTCAGTGAAATCTCAAGCCAAAAGTGTTATTTGAATCCAGGACAAGACCTTATTACCTTTGTAACATTAAAAAAATATGGATATTTTGATGGCAAAAATTAATGTCTATGTAATAACAAGAAACGCCAACTTTCCCAAATATATTAAGAAAAATAACAAAAGTGCTTCTATAAGAAATTCATGAAAAACACTCTGAGAGGGAAATAAAGCATTTTTTTCTATTACAACATAACCTTAGAGGCATTACTGCTGATACTGGTACATTTTTTTACTTTATAAACCTAAATATAATTGTTAAGTAGGAGTATTAACTTTTTAACTTTACTTTTTAACTTTTCAGTTAGCTTTTTATCTTTTTTATCTTGTCTTTTTAACTTTCTGATTCCATCTTAAGTTACAGTAGGTAATATATCATTCAAGTGCTCATCTAATTGGTTAAATGTCAAAATAAGATGTACAGCCATGTAGCAGCATCTTTATATAGATATAGATCTTGTGCTTCTAGACCTCACTGAGGGACGGGGGAACTCCATTTGGGGTATGCAAGTGATCAAAAACAGTAATTTGCCATATAATAGGTTAAAGCCTTGCAGGGCAGGGTAAAGCTCACTTCTCTCACTAAGCCATAAAAAAAGAAAAAGGAAAAAAAAAGGTCAGTTCAGGTGTTTTATAAACTATGTGAATCAGGAAATTGTCTATATACCAAACTGAATGATTGTTGTTCTCTACTTCAAAAAGTACCTTAGATTAAAAATTTTCTTTACATATTTTTAAAATATAAATGTTATACATTGAAATTAATAAAATGTTATAAAAATTCAATATATACCAAGGATGCATAAAAACCTGATTTTATTTCAGCATTAATTTTTTTTTTAAGTTACAGATTAAAAATGTGTGAGGATCTTTACTGGTTAATGATTTTCTTTATTCGGACCCCGCTGGTTTTTAATTTTAAACTCCTGGTATAAATTAGGACCTGGCTGGACAGACATTTTCCATTTTTCTATATATCTGACCAAATTGGGCGCTAAGCAAAAAGTATGGAGACATTTAAACCGATTTTATGATCCAAAAACCACTGAGTACTGAGAGACCATTTTACCAAGTACTTTTTTACTCTAAATAGCAACGTCTTGAATTACTACTTTCTAGTTTTACTTGAGTAAATAAAATGATAAAATAGTGTGTAGGCTACTGATACATAAGGACATTTTTAGGACTCTACCCACACATTTTTTTGTAGTTCAAACACAGAGCTGTTTTATTTTATTTCATCTTTTTCTCCCCTCCCTCACCTTCAGATATTCCTCTGTTGATACTATGTCCACACTTCCGGCCTTCGCCCCCTTCAGCGGCACTTTGATGTGGACCGTGGACTCAGTTTGGGTCCACGTGAAGTCCGTCACGTGCAGAGGCATGTCAGCAGAATCTGTGAGAAAACAGAGTTATCTAATTTAACCCTTCTATAAAATCCCCAACGAGTAACCGCTGTAATTCGTTGCTATGGTGACGAGAGTAAAACAGTGTGTTGCTTTTGGGGGTGTCGGAAATTTCAGTACTTGGTTTTCTACTTCCTGTTTTCGTAACACCTTTCACGTTACGTAACGTGAACGAATAGTAGGTAGGTTATGCACAGCCTGGAATGTCTGAAAAAACCCCATTGGTTACATTTGGTTATCAACATTGTTCACTGACTTCTTGTTGTAAATTTTGCAGCCAGATGTGGCAGATGTTCTTTCAGTCATTGTGGAGACTGTGATCCTTCCTCCATCATCTGCTGGGGAAACAGCATCAGAGCAAATGACTGAAAGAAGCTCAACAAACTGATAAAGAAGACCGCCTCTGTTCTAGGAACTCATCTAGAGATGATTCAATAGAGAAGAGTTTTTTATTAAGGGAAGAAGATTACAATGAGCATCCAAAAAAAAAAAAAAAATAAAAAATTGGGGATTGAACATTCTATTAAATATTTGAATTTGAATAATGAATTAATTAGTTACTTGTATTATTTGTTATTCATCATCTTCTGATGAAAACTGAGGGATCATAGGCTATCTCCTATTTTAGCTTCTCTTCATTGGCTTCCTGTTAAATTCAGAATATAATTTAAAATCCTCCTTCTCACATATAAAGCCTTAAATAACCAATCTCTGGTGAAGAGAGACCTGAGCCAAAAAGCTAAGCTTTCGATTTACCGGTCGATCTACGTTCCTTCCCTCACCTATGGTAATCAGCTTTTGTTCATGACCGAAAGAAAAAGATCCCGGATACAAGAAATGAGTTTTCTCCATAGTGTGTCTGGGCTCACCCTTAGAGATAGGGTGAGGAGCTGGGTCATCTGGGGAGGACTCAGAGTAGAGCCGCTGCTCCTCCACATCGAGAGGAGCCAGCTGAGGTGGCTCGGGCATCAGATTAGGAGGCCTCCTGGACGTCTCCCTGGTGAGGGGTTCCAGGCAGGTCCCACTGGGAGGAGGCCCAGGGGGAGACCCAGGACACGCTGGAGGGACTATGTTTCTTGGCTGGCCTGGGAGGGCCTTGGGATTCCCCCAGAGGAGCTGGCACAAGTGGCTGGGGAGGGGGACATCTCGGCCTCCCTACTGGAGCTGCTACCCCCCAACCCGACCCCGGATAAGCAGAAGAAGATGGATGGATGGATAACCAATCTCCATCTGAAATCAGGGATCTGATTGTTCCTTATCTTCCTAACAGAGCACTTCACTTTCCATCTGCAGGTTTACTAGTGGTTCCTAGAATTTCTAAAAGTAGAATGGGAGGCAGATATTTTAGTTATCAGGCTCCTCTCCTGTGGAACCAACTACCAGTTTTAGTCCGTGAGGCAGACACCCTGTCTACTTTTAAGGCTAGGATTAAAACCTTCCTTTTTGATTAAGCTTATAGTTATAGTGGCTCAGGTTATCCTGAACTATCTCTATAGTTATGCTGCTATAGGCTTAGACTGCTAGAGGACTTAGGGACCACTTTTCACCATTCCGCTTCATTCTACATATATTCTTCCATTCTTGGGTATTTGTTAGTTCAATCTCTAACGTTATGCTCTCTCTGAATTTTCTTATCATGGTAGCTAAATCTGGTCTGTTCTGTTCTGCTGTGAAGGAGACAAATATCACCTGTGCTGCTGCCATCAACACCTTTGTTTATAAATGATAGAGTTGGGCCTGTTTTTCAGTGTAGTCCTTCCTGTTCAAAGGGAGTTTTCCACTCCACTGTTGCTATAAGCATGCTTGATGACAGGGTATTCTGAAGAGTCAATGAGTCAGTACAATCAGCTTGTTTTCCTTAGATAGAAAACTTTGAATCCATCTGACTGTATGATCTTGTTTAATTGCCTCTGTAAAGTTTGCTGAAATGACGTGATGTGAATTGGCACTATAGAAATAAACTGAATTGAATTGAAGTAGACATTTCTGTCCACTTTATTATAGGTTTCCTGTTCACAACATGTCTGATTGTGTTAGTCAGGTTTTTCATGAACAGAAATATCTTGATGATGTAGAGGTCTCAAAAACTCATGTGTCAAACATTACACTCTAGGTGTTAAAGGGTTAAACACCAGCACTGTCTCCAGTAAAAGGTTTCTCCAGATCCGGTATAAGAAAGCCGTCTACAGGAGATCCTTCCTTCCTACAGCATCAACATTTACAAGAACTGGATGAAGAAAAATCAGAAGTTAAAGAATAATATAAAAAATAATATGAGAATAACAAAATTTCTTTTCTCTTTGGGATAAAATTAAATACTTTTTTAATTCTAGTAGTCTGCAGTACTGTTGTCTTGTAACAAGAAGGTTCTGGATTCAATTCTTCCTGCAACTTTCTTTCTGCATGGAGTTTGCATGTTCTCCCTGTGCACGCTTGGGTTCTCTCCGGGTACTCCAGCTTTCTTCCACAGTCCAAAAATATGACTATTCGGTTAATTGGCTTCTCTAAATTGTCCTTAGGTGTGAGTGTGTATGAATGGTTTTATGTCTCTGTGTGTCTCTGACACAGACTGGTGACCTGTCCAGGGTGGACCCTGTCCCTCACCCATAGACTGCCATAGATAGAGACCGGCCCCACCGGGGCGGGAGAAGATGGACGAATGAATTAATTTTGTTTCAAACAGTTTTATTGCGGAAACAGACATGAAAATTCAAACATCAACAATAAAAATTTGTCCTCTTTTTTGATGTTAACATGAAACATAAAGACAACTCAAAGTCAAAACGAAACAGAAGTGGCATAAATAAAGCGGAACACTCCCCCCTCCCCTTTCCCTAGGACTTACATTTTATCACACAGAGAATCAAATCGAGTTCTCTTCAAATAGAATTATCAATATATTGCCAAAGCAGATGCCAAGTTCTATTGAATCGCTTTAAATTATTTGCTAATGAAAACTGTATTCTTTCCAGATGAGAGTCTTACCAGTTCCTCCAGCCACAGTTTAACTGATGGGACCTCTGATTATTTCCAGAACATGAGCACTAGCTTTTTTCCTATGATAAAGGCATAAGATAAGTACAATCAAAAGTGAGTCCAGCCTCAATTCTACATTAAACATATCTAATACAATTTTGAATATGCCACATCAAAATGGGGTTAATTTTTCACACAAAAAATACGAATGTAGAAGTGTGGCCTCTTAAATATGGCATTTGTCACACAGCGGGGATGTGTTTTTATGTAACTTCACTTTACAGTAATGAAGCCTATATAAATGAACGAATTAAACCTATATAGATATCCTTTTTAAATGTTTTCCCTGTTTGCAATTCCATGAAGGAGCCTCAGCCTAACTGACATTAATGTTAAACCAGATGAGAGCCCCATAAAGAGAAAACAGCATTATATTACTCCAGACTCCAACAAAATGGTCACACTTTTTCAATAACCCAGGGCAAAACGTCACTTTTAAAGGGTTTTACCTTGTTCATATCAGATTTTTTTTATTCTTGATTGACTGGCAGAAAATAGAAACATCTAAAGGCACAAAATAACCTCTGGGTCATTGAAGCCAGTGTCCCCCTCTCTACATCAAAGCAGCTAATATGAATGCCTAAATAGGAAGACTCTGTTCCAGTCTTCCTATCAGATGCTGTGGGATGATGTGCTCTCTTCATCCTCTGATATCAGAGCTGGCCAGAGATGGCAAAAGTACTCACTTTCTGTACTTGAGTAAAAGTACAGATACTTGTGTTAAAAAATA